ATAAACAAACAAACTCACTTTCACATTTATAATAAAAGTACAGCAGTATGGATGGATTGTCTAGTATTCTTCTAGGCTTTTTATCCTTTTTTATATAAACTTTCTAGTTTGGAAATTTACGGCCGTGTAATTATAATTAGGTAGGATGTGGTTAAGAAAAAGAAGATTTGAGAAAAAAAGGGTTACAATACTGTACTATGATTTTAAATATGGAAAGTAACGTAATAGCCTAAAAAATATGTTGTAAAAGTTATGTAAAACAAAAATGGAAGTTAATTTATCTTTTGCAAACATAAATGTGAAAGAATTTAATAACAAGATAATGTAAAATAATATAATACCTGTTTCTCGTGAGAAAAAAGCTAAAACATGTACGACGCCAAGAACCGACAGAGTTGCCAATAAATGCGCTAAAACGAACTTTAGACGCATGTTAAAAAAGTAACTTACCTAAAATCCTCCTTTGCCGTTTGTGTTCATATTTTTAACATTCAAACAAGCTCGCCGCCGTCTTAGAGCCGTTATTCGACTCGATACATTTTTAATGTTCTTCATCTTTCACACACGTCATAACAATTTTGAAGCCATATGTAATATTATCAAGTACTAATAATTACACTGTTACAATAGCATCCAGTTAATCCTCAAAGAGTCACCCGAGTGTGATAATAAGTATACACAAAGCACCACACTATGTGGGCATTGTGTAAAATATTATTCTGCATTATGATTTTTTTCTCTCTCTTGTTGTGTGGAGAAGCCTCAACGGGGGGCAGTAATAATATTGGCTACTTATATTAGGGATTTTATCAGTTTAGTTGGTTGTGTGGCTTCGAAATTAACTATCAATAATGAACTAAGCTTTTTGTTTAGTTAAAAGTAATCTATAGAATGATGACTACAAAATTTAAGGGTAATAATAACAGTTGTAAACTGTTATTATTACCCTTAAATTTAAACGAGTTCTTGAGTGGAGACCGCGTCTCGGCAAACGTAGTGTAGGACGCCCACAGGCCAGGTGGAGTGACGATTTGCGCAAGATGGCTGGCAGGAGCTGGATGCGAGAAGCGAGGCGTGCAATGGGAGAGGCCTATGTCCAGCAGTGTACTGCGATAGGCTGATGATGATGATGATGAATCTGTTATTAACAATTAATATTAAATTTTAAATTGAACTGTTGTTTTGTTTGTTTATTTTGTAATCGAATTTCTTTTAAGGGTAGTTTTAAAAAAATTGTAACGTTTTTTATTACTCTTAATAAAGAGTATTTACTGTAAGTTTGAAGAAGCCACTACCAAAAATAACGATGGTTCATATAAATTTCCAACCCCCATTTTGGACCCTTAGGCGTAGTATTTTTTTTTAAATCCTTTCTTAGTGCACATCTACGTCACCTACGAAACATTTGTGCAAAATTTCATACTTCGAAACTCAGCGGTTTCAGCTGTGCGTTGATCGATCAATCAATCGAGTGAATCAATCTGTCAATTTCTTCTTTTCATTTTCATCAAATATAAGCTTACAGTATATACAACCAAATCGATTATATCTATACTAAATATACAAAATAAAATACACAAAGACATAAAATCAACGATAATAATATTTTAACATACACAATAAAACATTACAAATTACAATAAAAAATTACAAACACAACAATTTTATAATGAGATCTTTTAATATCACTTAGATGAACCTTAACTACCTTAACTTACTATGTTATTTAGGGAGAGTAAAACTTTGCTATACACTACGCTAGGTTTGGTCAAAAATATATCTGCCTCTGGATTGGCCTCTAGGAAACAGTTTAATAGTCTGACGACTTTGGAAGTGGGGCCGTTATCAGCGTGTGGGGAGCGCCACGCCAGCGGACAGCAGAGAAGTCTATGCTGTCACCTACCAATGCCTCTCATGTATTGGTCCGGTACTGCAAGATTATCTACGTTGTCAATTATCAAGAAATAGTAATCTGTGATATGCTTAATTTCTCGCCTAAACTGTAGACCAACCATGACAGATACAAATGTTGATGGGTAAAGAAATTGGTAGTACCCATACTGCGTTTGTACAAATATCGGGCAAATTTATGTTGGATTTTTGCCACCATCATTGTTTACAAGGTTTCTCGAGGGCACCATACTAAGGCATTAAACTCTGACTTACTCCGCACGTAGGCTTTGTACAATTGTATTATCACTTGGACATTTTTAAATTGATATGATGCTCTAATTATGATAATTATAGGGGCCAGCAGACGGTTCATCCGATGTTAAGTGATCACCGCCATCCAATGACATCTGAGCAACTCATGAGTCATAAGCACGTTGATGGCTTTTGAGTTCCCTCACCTAAATGAGGAGTAAGGATTAGACCTCAGGTTAACTCACTCACTCGATAAATACAACAAAAGAATTCTTTAACAACAGTATTCTTTACTGCCGTGAAATCACGCGTCATATCACATTTGCAAATATCAGCCTTCATTAACAGCCTTTAGTGGTCTACTGCTGAACATAGGCCTCTCCTTAGTAAGAAGGTTTTGGCCTATTATACCACGCTTGCCAGACGGGTTGATACAGGGTTGTTTCAAGTTTTCCGTCTCTTTGCAGTATGTAACATATAACATTTAATATCAGTCTAGCCTGCTTTATTGCAAAGGAAACTGGTTTAATTATTACCGATACCGATTTATGGATACTCTTCCGAAAAGAAACAAAATGCTATGGATGCATATTCACTGATCCCTCAGACGAACAGCAAACAAATTTATATTTTATAGCTACATACACAAAGTTCAGAATACGTATGCTAGGGAAGGCGAATTGAAGTGGCAATTTGACAGGATTACTTTGAATGTTAGTGATCAGAGCGATTGGAGTTGCATTTACCAATAACGTCATGTATTTAGTTTCATGTCTCTTTGTAGCAAATCATATTTGAACTGGCATTCATATAGCTGAAAGATTAATTCAATTTGTATTGAAATGAAGAGTGGTAAATACAGCACTTGAAAACCAGCAATGAAAGTGCTAATTATAGTTTTCACTTTTTTAATTGCTTTTATTAGCTTCTCTTCCAAATATGTTAACAAATCTTAGAAAATGCTTCAGAGAGCTCGTTAAGCCGTTGGTCCCGTTACCATACTGTCATCTCCAGGCCCGTCTCTAGCCTATTGGAGGCCCTGGGCAAATTAGCTTAGTGGGGCCCCTACGAACTTAGCTGAGCACTATTTTGTTAGAATAGAAAAAAAAAGTATTGTAGTTAGTCAAAATAAATATGTTTTTTGGTGATAAATATTGATTTTCGATTGGTGATCTGGCAGGAATCGGGCCCCTATCGATCGAGGGGCCCTGGGCACGTGTCCAGAGTGCCCAGTGGGAAAGAGAGGCCTGGTCATCTCTACATCAGGTGGAAATAGTTACGGGTATTTGAAGCCCTAAAACGTGTGACAAAAGTCTATCTACAGAACTTTATGATATCGCCTGGTACTTGGGTTGTAGTGGTCTGAAGGCAGTCGCTCTACGTAAAACGTCGAAGTTCAACCGTATCGTAGTGGACTAAAAGCCGACCCCAACCTAGATTGGGAAAAGGGCTCGTAGGAGGATGATGAAAATACAGTATATGAAGAAAATATAACAAGGCATCTTGGACTCGATTCGATGATTGGTGATCGGAGGTGGATAGTAAAATTCTTCACTGTCTGCTAGTGAACCCTTCCAGTTTAGGCTAGTATGATTCGTTAAGACAAGTCTTTAAATTTTAATTTAATGTCTTACATTAAAATCTCACAAATGTAAAATTAAAGTCCAATAACGCACTTTCCCACAGCTCAACATTTGATTGACATGACATCGATCTGTTAATCCGGCTCCCGTTCCGGACCAGTTGCATAATACGTCCAGTACCCCACTAGAACTAACATACAATAAAAAACGAAAAATCAACCTTAAGCTTTCAACATTAAGTTTCGTTTCAGCTCACAATGAACTTTAACCCTCGTTTGAATTTCGCAGTTTAACAAAACAGGAGTATTGTGAAACACTTAACATCGGATGGTACACTATTTATTTGTACTAATTCTATTTTTATACAAGCTTTGATACAATTGTTTGGTACAATGCGATGAACAAATACAGAGATTAAAAAGATGTTCATTATGTTATACTTTGTAATGTTTATAATCGTAATCGTAGTTTAAATGGGAGGGTGCGTATGAAGGTACCTTAAAAAAGCATAGACAATTTAATTTTGTTTGCGAGTTTTCGAGATGGCCGTATTCAAACTGTTTTAAAATACGATTATTAGGACGTGTGACAGTAAGCCCTGCTAGATATTTAATTTAATGATTCTCTCTGTCCGTCCCTCATGTGTGAGAATCGGGGTTTTGTCTGGAGCAGATGATCTTACTTTGCAGATTCTAGTTGAGTGTATCTCTTGCTTGTTCGGTCCATCTTCTTGGTGTACGACCGATCGATCGTTTGCCTTTGGCGTTCACCTCTACGTACTGTGTGGCTGAAAATGACTGTTACTCCTAAAATGCCTAAATCTGTCTTACAGCACTTACTTAATAAATTTCATCACTATAAAATGTACATCTCATATAAGAATTAAAAAGAAAAATATTTCTCCATTAAGAAATTATACATATTTATGGATTGTGAATAAAAAAAAAATTAAAAGTAAAATGGCCGTTATTTTATTCTACGTTACATGGCGGAGCCAACATGTAACGTTTAATAAAAATATTTTCATACCGTATAAATGTTTTTTTTTGTTTTTTTTTTTTAATTATATTTAAATAACAAAAACAGTACAAAAAAAAACATGAAACAACCATAAACCACGTAATTGCTTAACTTGGGTACCTACACGTTATATTTAGTTACTAATTAATTTATTAATTTAGAAACCAAAAGTCTTAGCACTTGATCAGTTTTAGATAAAAATAACAACATTTATTAATTAGTAAAGATTTGTAAGTAAAAAAAATTTTTAAAATGACCCTTAACTATTTTCCATCAGATCGAATAGAACTGAAGAGCGAAAGCGTGGTGCACTCAGACTCTGATCATGAGCAAGAACACGAGCATGAGCACGCCGAGCACAGTGAGCACGGCCATGAGCACACTGATCATGGAGAACATCTGGAAGCTTTAGACTCTGGCAGACCGCGCAAGGTAACTTGTTTGAATTGGTAGACTTTAGCGATCTAAAAAATTTGATAAAAAAAATAACATAACCTCTCGCCAGTGACATGTCAAAATGTAAAATATTCATGTCTGTGGAGTCCCGTGAACAGACTTTACACAGACAACGTATTTTTAGGGTATAAGTTTAAAAAACCTGATTTTCTCTAAAACCATTAATAAATATAATAAAGCCATTAATAATTTATATTCGAATTAGATTTCTTTGTGTAATTTCTTACACTTGACTTTGAATTGCATTGCAACTGTTCTATGAGAAAACAAATGGGTCACCTAAAACTTCTTTTATTTTACAATAAATAAAAAATAAAGACCTTGCTGGATGTAAAATTATATTTTTTTTGTATAATATTAAGTACTTGACAAAATAAAAATCAAATGACCAATAAACCAAAGATATTACACTATTTGTTGTTGCACAAACCGAAAAGTTCGCGGGAAACACTGACTGAAATGGTCACAGTTTAAATAAACCATCGTCAAAAAAATTTGTACCACAGACCATACAACTTTTATGTGATAGGGAGAACCTGTTCATTCTTAGTTGATTGTTAATAAGTACCATAGAGCGAGAACTGTAGTAATCGACAAAACAGACTATACATACACCTCTACGGCGGATCGAGTGTACGTCGATACGGTGTGTCGAGTCCGCTACGAAAGCGCACTAATGTGCAAAGTCCGCTGAGCGGACGCGACACTGTCGAGAGGATATCGTATAACATAAAATGTTATATGCTTTTTTGTGTAAAGAAGTTCGACCGTTTTTATAAAATCATAAAAATATAAAATTATCCGAGTTTTAGATGTTATAGTTTTAGAGTTTTTTTTCCACAAAACTCCATGTCTATTAAAAGAACTCTCAAATCGAACTGTATCTTTCGTGCAAGCAGGTGCGCCGCAGCCGTACAACGTTCACCACGTACCAACTCCACGAGCTGGAGAGAGCATTTGACAAGACACAGTACCCCGATGTGTTCACTAGAGAAGAGCTAGCGATGAGGCTGGACCTCAGCGAGGCTAGAGTTCAGGTGAGCATACCATTTGCCTTTACTTCTATTACTACTTAACAATCTGTTTGTCCGACTCTTCTATATACCTATTGCCTTTTCTAAATGAACAGTGTTCATACTGTTCATGTACAGATTAGTCATCCAGCGGCAGAGTATTTTGCAGTCACCTTTTACTTTTCTCAAGGTATACTTAAACGTTTTCTGTGCATTTCTTAATGCTAAGAAGTATCACAGATCCTTATAATTTTTTTAGCCTTCTTTAACTTCTATCAACACAGCAGCACTTGCTTTTTCGGCAGTGTTATTAATCTTCTATTATGTTATTCTTTTCTTCTACACGACAGTAATGTTCTTCTACAGTACAGTACAGTCACGAACATGATGTGAACACGAAACATCGTGGCCTCAAAACCTTTCAATTTCAGAGAAAAGTAGGACCAATAATTTTCTAGCAGTAATCTCAAACACATTATTAAAATTTAATTGGTTATTAATACACCTACCGCAACTTTCATTATGATCATTTAGTACATTAATTATTCATAATTATTAATTAATATTCTCGTTACTGCCAAATAATTTACACACTCACTATAAATTATTTCATATTAAATCGTATGTTCGTGTGTCGACTTTAATAACTCATGATTAATTAGTAATTAAAAATATATATTAGTAATTAAAACTAACATATTTTTTTATTTCTCTCTAGCCGAGACCCATTTTGAAAACAAAAAAATTGTAATAGATAGACATGGGTATGACTGAGTCGTTAAGACCATAATCACATAGCTTCTGCACACAGAAATCTCTAATTTAGATTTCTGTGCATCTGTCTGATCTATATATAAGAGAAAATATTAACTATGTATGGTTAGATCTTATTATTATTTATTTGTGTTCGACTAAATTGGTGAAATTTGGATATAAGTTGGGTAATACACTACATTCATGAAAATCAGTCGTACACGAGGCATGTATTTAACATTTAAACAAATGTGTGGGTGAGTGTCGGACACTAGAGGTGCGATTGTAATTAAAATTAGTTCCATTCTGATCGCGACACAATGCGCGGCAAATTGTCGCCTAGCCCTTCCCTTTTGCAGCACACCGCAATAGCTCCTCACTCCTCACCCCCTTTTGCAATTAAGCCGTATTACAAAGTAGTACATATTAATTGTAAATGATAATATGGTAGATATTAAATTAAATTTAATTTCATATTTATGACTTAAGTGAGTTCAGTAATATTTGTACTTTAATTTCACGTCACAAGTCGTTTTATAGTTTATGTTAATGAATAAAGCGGTGTATAAAACCGATAGTAATATTGATTAAATTCATTGTCTTTCTGTCGGGAACTGTACCAAGTGCTAAAGGTTTATAAAATTTCTCTGATTTAGGGTTCGCCATCTTCGAACTGATATAATTATTACTTTAAATATAGTGTTAAATTAAATGGCTGTTTGAAATAATTTGTAGATAGTTACTTGTTTAAAAAACATGTTAAAAGAGGAAGAAGCTTCTTACCTCTTCTTTTTATATGCTACTGCTGATAAAAATGCTTGTTTATTTATTTATAACTTTATGCACATTTATACATCGGCGGACTTAATGCCCAAGGCATTGTCTCCCAGTCAACCTTATATATATTAATTATATTCCTAATGCACACATATAACGGGCCTGTTGGTCTAGTATTTAGTGACCCTGACTGCCAAGCCTGAGGTCGTGGGTTCAATTCCCACTCAGGATAAATAATTGTGTGATGAGCACACACACATGTGAGATTTATTCTGTGCCTGGGTGTGGTTTATATGTGATATGTATGTATTTAGAAATATAAAAGTATGTTTATAAGCACTCTGGTTGCGATAGTACTGGCTCTGCCTAATTTGGAATCAGACAGCCGTGTGTGAGATGTGAGAAGTTATTATTATTATTATAAATAACTTACACAGACAAGGTACCAAATGATCGTGTACCATCACACAATTATTTAACTCGGATGAGCTAAGAAAAAAAGACGAATATTTCTTTTAAAAAAGTCGTTTAATTGTTTCAAGTTTACACCACTTATTCTAAAAGACAAGCTCAAAACCCGTAGGTACTCAGTTAATCGCATTATTGTGTTCGCGTCATTTGGTCGCACAATGCGCGCTAATTCTTCTATCATTATGTTCTTGTGGCAAGTGCGCTAATGTTTGCAGCGTCGCCACGTGCATTACCGTCCGACTAGCCGCTAATTGTTGCAGATATTGTAATCAAGGTTCTTAGTGAGACTCGCTTTTGCAGTTGTTATGAAACTTTCATTTTAAACAAAAAACGGACAAGTACGGGTCTGAGTTCCCCAAGAGACTTCTGCACAAACTTGTACATAGGAAGTTCAATCGTAGTTCAATCGCGAGGGTGAATTCTCGCAGAGTTTTAAACCAAATTTAATTTTGCTATTCCTAAAAACTTCCTCATTCATCAATAATAGTCAGTTTTTTAACAGCAAAATGTGAGTTTGGAACATAAACAGTATTTTTTTGTGAAAAAAAAATAACGTTAGTTTGTTTTTGTGTCTTGTACCGTGAGTGACCTTTCTACTTCCCAAACTGCATGATGTTATGGCAATGGTGAGTAAGTATTAATGTACGAACGAATATTATTTAAATGGGTTAAATCATAATACTTCAAAAGCTTTATATTTTGATTGCGTTCACTTATAAACTTGTTTTTTTAAATAATAATAATGAATACACATTTTGTACACGGCCGTCTAATCCCAACTAGGCAGAACCTGTGCCATGGTTTGTACTCGTAAATTCAAATTTATTTTTAGAACCCTGAAATAAAAACAACAAGCGCATGTTTTTCTAATATCGCCCAAAGTTACTTACAACAAAAGAAAGAGTATACTTCTGTACAATGATGATCGCTAATTATTACAAGGTAATCCTAATCATGGTTACTCCAATAAAATGATTATTATTATATTAATCCTTATTTCTGGTTTAGGAACCTGAACGGCTATGCCATCAAACATAGTCTACCAACATGTTTTGTAGAGAAAAGGGATCTCGGAATAGCTACCTCGTGGTGAAAAGAAGCTTAAAACAAGGCTACGAAAACATAAAGTGAAATAAAAAGAAAGCATCCCTACTAATGATTTTGATTGGATAAATCTAAATCTATGATTATATAAAAAGTAAAAGATAGACATAGGTAATTTACTGTTCCCGTTATGGAGGATTGGCTCGAGAGGCGTCACGGGACCCTCTCATACCGATTGACGCAGGTGATCACTGGGAAGGGATGTTTCGGAGATCACCTGTGTCTGATCCGCAAGGAGCCAACGCCTGAGTGCCACCACTGCGATGGCCAGACCGTGGACACGGCTCTCCACACGCTGGCAGAGTGCCCGGCGTGGGTTGAGCAGAGGCGAGACCTCGTGGCGGCCATCGGAGTGGGAGTTCTCTCGCTCAATAGCCTGATTGCGGCTATCGTGCGGAGCGAGAGTGCGTGGAACTCTGCCGTCTCCTTCTGCGAGCAAGTTATGCTCGCGAAGGAGACGGCGGAGCGGGACCGGGAGAGGTTTAGAACTCTCCCGGCCCGCCAGGCCCGGGCACGCAGGCGACTCAGGCGCCGGAGGTCGCAGAACGACCTCCGTCCTCCATAAGCGCAGGCCTGGGGGTGACAGGTGAGGCCATCTGTCACCCTAGCAGAAGCAGGCCGGGGTGGCGGCGAGCGCGTTGCGAAGTGCGCTCGCTTCCAGGGAGCACAGGGAACATGGGGTTCCCACACGGGGGGGGGTCGTCTACTCGTCTGTAGATGACCCGAGGTATGTCGGGGCACCAGGGACTTCCTTTCTAGGGTATACCTGGTTCCCCGGCTATTAGTACCCGGCGACGGCGTGCGGCTTTAGTCGGTTCGAGTCCGACATGCCACCGACAGATGGTATCCGAGGGAATTTCAGTACGGAAAAAAAAAAAAAAAAAAAAAAAAAAAAAGGTAATTTACTGTTAGAACTGTCAATTTATTCCGTTACCATTATTTTCCACACAGTCTCTATCTCTCAAGCCTCAAAATACCATCAAATACTGTAAAACTAACCCTTTTTCGGGGTACAAAAGAGATAATTTCAAAAAGCACAGTTTCAAAAATAGGTAGTTAAAATTCAACCGGCTATAGTCTGAAGATTCAGGCAGAAATGGTATCGAATACTGCTAAATTAACCATATTTTGCGGTGAAAACAAAGGCAGTAATGTTAATCGCATGCCGCGGACGATGAATAGGTTTAACGAGGTACGCCAGGTGCAGCTTAACGCCACGAGGACACTACGCAACTGATGAGCATTTGTGTCTCTGACAGCAACAAATGAAATTTCGACCATCTTGAATATGGTTTTATTATAGTCTATACAAAAGTTATGACATGTTTATATTTTGCTGACTTTTGAAATTATTTGTGGTCTACAAATCATAAATGTTTTGTTCAGCGCTTAAAAAATAGAGCCATATTAACTACCTTACGACATAGACTAGACGCATAGAGGAAGCGCTGGCGGTGTGCCATTTAAGGAGTAGCTGAAAAATGGTAAAAAAATACAAGAAACATGAAACATTGTATTTTGGATCAGCGTAACATTTTGATGATAGCTTTACTTATTTAATAAACGATAAAATGAGAAAAACATGAGTTCTTTATCAAACATTTAGCTTCGGCAACTATCCTTTTCAATCCTGTGAGTGTTTGTATGGAATACGTTCTACTGCTGATCCCATAATCTGCGTTGTGGTAACTAATAAACTACATACGCTACATTGCAGTTTTTGAATGAGACTATTAAAATATATATTTAAAAGAACATTTATTGTATGAGCTGATTTATAGTATGATTTTATTTTTGCCGCCTTTTTGTAGCAGAGCGTGTATTACGACCAAATACATTAGATTAAATACACCTTAAACCAAGATCCAACCTAATCAGATTACCACAATTAATCTGTATCACAAATACAAATGCTTTAATTAAGGACCATTTCTGCTAAGTGGGCCCTGCTTCGGTTAAAGCGAGCACCGCGCAATTTGGTAATTACCGACTCTACGGCCGACGGAAGTTGGAGGGGGGATGTGAAGTTAAGAGCGGGAGGGTAATATCTGCCACTAGACAACACACTTGAGGAATCAGCGACATTCTTTAGGATTTACATGCAGTCGTTGCAGACGAATAAAGAGTTTCCTTCAAAGATGTTGAGGGTTTTTAGAATGAATAGAGGTGCTGATGGCATTTTTCATTTCACATGAGAATTATCTCTCGGCCTTGGAAATAATCCATGAATGATACAAATGTGATGTTTGGAAACTGGCACCAAATAAATAAGTGTTTGTTTATGTATGATTCTTTGACTGTTATAATGTTAACTTTATACATATTGGTAAGTTGTTCGAGCAAAAACAATAGCAACACTTGGTTGAAAATCTTTTTTTCCTATTTCCTACTCCACTCCACTCCTCTACTTTCACACTCCAAACATAGTAATCTTTCTTCAAAATATAAGAACGTTTCTAAAACGACTCAATCGTTTTAGAAAAGTGCATAATGGTGCTAATTCTGTTGTACGAAAACTCTTTAAACTAAAGTAAAAATCACTAAAAATTTGTTTAGTCCTATCATGTACTACCTAAACGTATTTTCAGAATACGAAACGTTGTCTTAGATTTTTAGTTTAGTTTAGACAGTTTTCGAACAGCAGAATTAGCACCATTGTCTATTTTGCCTTAAACATTCTAAGTTCGAGAGTTTTCTACTTTTCTTTTTAAGAAAGAAATTGTAGAGTTCTTAGAGCTTATTGTAGGTACATGAAATTTCCACCCACTGACTGTTAGACTTACCTTGTCATAATCATGCATTGAAACATATTTATTGCATCTAAGTTGTTCTACACGCACTTGGGATCCTGCGAAGAGGATCTATTGGTTTCCAAAGTACTAGCACGTAGGGGCCGCCACCCGCGCTTCTTAAATCACACTCGACGGCTGCAAATTGCTTTTAATCCACTTCATAGATGGCATTCGCCGACAAACGACCTCGTTTCACTCCTACACATTTTTAGCTCTACCCCTTATGTTATAGAGTTTGATATTGATTGTAAATACGGAATTTTAGAATGCAATTCAGACGGTCTCAATGAAATGTTGAGTGATTGCTCTCTGTAATCGACACGCGGTCTTTTATTCATTGCAAGTGCTCTTGAGAGGCAGTCGTGGAATTAAATCTATGTTTAATTGATGAATTTTATATGACAAGTGGCTTGGATTCAAACATGCATTGCATGTTGGGGGTCATGGAGTAAAATGTAAGAATTGATAATGGAAGAACATAAATTCATTATATCATAGACAAATTGAATGTTTTTATTGTAAATGACTGCGTAGAGTAATCGGCCACCAATGCGTGACCACTTATTAATTAAAATGATATGTAATTGATTTGCTGAATGAAATGTTCATCAGATCAACACTTGAAATATAAACCTTAATTTACAACAAAAGTACGTATAATAGTTAACTTTTAAAAAGTACCCGACCGACTTTAACGCTTTAACATCATTGTATATTGTAATAAAATCATAGTCGAACGTGAGAGATTACCTCTGGGCCCTCAGAGGCCGCCTCTTGTACTTATCTTATTTAGTATTAAGTTATTTTTTATAGTTACCTGGTGGACAATAAAGAGATATTTATTAAAATTATTCGTGCCTTAATTTGCCTCCTTTGGTGTCGTATTTTTTCTTTAAATTTGAATTTTTTCTTTTAATTTGTAACTAAAGAGGCTGTATACACTCCTATTTAAAAACTGAATTTCCCATAGAAAAAATCCAACCGAATATTAGTAACCACTTCTTTTTGTTTATGACCTCGGTTTAATGAGTTTTAAATATTATTGCAATAGTCAATTATTTCTGCATTGTTAGGTACTAGCTTTTGTAGCCGGCGTGTATGTCAGGTATCGCTATAAAATGTACCATGTGTTACTCGCTGATGATGTAGCTTTAATTGGTGAAAGTTTTTTTTAATTAATATGCGTGATGAGCTTGACTGTTGTGAGCTACTGTCAGTACTCGAACATCATGGACTACGCATTTGTTTAACGTACATTTTCATCGCACCAATTATGGTAGAAATGCTGTTATGACCACATAGATACACTGAGAGATTCAAAAGTATACCGTATTTATACCGTGGGAGAGCCACGCTTCGGCACGAATGGGTCGGCTCGACCGGAGTGATGCCACGGCCTCACAGAAAACCGGTGTTAAGCAATTCTTTCGTTGCCTTTCACTGAGTGAGTGAGGTAACCGGAGCCCAAATCCCTCCCGCTGACTCGAGGGACTCCAAGGGCAGCAACGCAGTAGTTGCTTACCATTAGGTGACCCGTTTGCTCGTATGCAATACCATAAAAAAAATAGACATATTTATATTGTCAAAGAAATCGTGGACTCACCACTCAATTTATTTTTGGTTAGGTTTAGTATTGTGTGTTATGTTTTTTTTTTCTTTTCGTCATGATTTGTTTTTAGCTATTTCTACTTCTTAGTTAGTGCCAACAAAATGTCATGAAACTCAAATAATCAAAACAAAATCAGTGTCAAAATAATCATGTGTGTAAGTAAACAAGCTGTTGAGTTTCTTATCAATAAATGAAAAGAAAAATTTGTGCGTCTCGGGACGCTCGACAGAAGTAATAACTTGAACTAATCTAAGTTGAACTATTTTGATATTCTTTAACTTGAGAAAAGCTTAGGTTATTACTTACGAAATACGGCTAGCGCTGTGGGTTGGATTGAGGGAGGAAGAGCCTGCCTATCGCTGCCGTATGCGTGAGAGAAAGGGAAGCCAAAACAGACTAGTGCCGTAACGCGTTACGTAACGAAGCGGTTTACCATAAGAAGTTATCACTTCAAAAATCGGTTTAGTTTTTTAGGCGTGAAAGCATAATAAACAACAAAGTCACTTTCACATTTATAATATAAGGAGGGAATTACCTATAACGAGTAGTATAACTAAATTACATTTTCCGTAGTTACTTTTTTAACTTAGTAAAGATTGTCTTTCAAACGTAAATATAAAAAAATTGTATACATATTTAATAGTTCAAATAATTAAACCTTGTTTCCCAGTTAAGTAATAAGATTAGAGCAATTTGCGAAAACGCTGAGCCATTTAGACGCCATAATTGTCGCCATTCCCGACGAGCGAAGCCATTGTACGAATGCAGCGAATCAGTAAAATGGTTTCATTTGAAAATTATGAAATTACACCAATTTTTTCGTTCTTCTACAATGTCTTTTTATTAGCGCAATGTGGCTCGACTAGCTCAATTTGTTTCTATTCTCTACTGAACATTCAATTGAAAATTGAACTCTATCACAATGTGGCAGAGATGGTGTTAGCGTTTTGGTATAGGTATAGGAATGGAGACCACGTATGCATAATTGCTTTTCATTACTGTTCCATTGTAGTCGAGAGGTGCGGACAAGTGGGGGGTGAGAGACCCGGCTGAAAGGGGGGGGGGGGCGTACAAATTGCTAACAATTACACAATAAAAAAAAATTAAAGTTGGCCACAACTCACAGTCATTGGATTGCTCCAATTATTGGACAGGAGTGTACTGCGTTCTCTTATTGTAGCTAGCTTTGGACGTTATACTGAAAGCACTTGTTTTGATTTTAGGGTTTCGCAACATATTTAAATTATTACTGCTTAATTTTGTTACTCAACTATTTATTCGTTTCTTTAAGACCATTTCTCTTTGAAAGCAAAGACGTTCATGTTGATTTTAGAGGTCCGTTTCGCAAACGGAAATAAGGAACCCCTTATAAGGAATCACTTTATTTTCCGTTCCTTCCCCCTCCGCTCCAAAAAGTGAACCTCCTCATGTTAATATGAATAGAACCAGAAACACATTGCAACTCATTTTTACTTTTTACGTAATAATATCCGTAAGGTGACGGATTAAGAATACGGAGTGTCACCACCCCTATTTATCAAGCGGGTATATAGCCACTAGGGGAGCTCACTACGCAAGACAACAGCACTGCAAAGAGAAGGAAAACTTGACACAAACCCTATACCAACCCGTCTGGCCAGTGTGGTATGGTAGGCCAAAACCTCCTTTCTAAGGCATATGTCCAATACTATTAAAGGCTGTTGATGTAATGAGATCTGAAACTATAATTATTGACGAGAAAAAATTTTGTTAACAGGTGTGGTTCCAAAATCGTCGTGCTAAGTGGCGCAAACGGGAAAAGGCATTGGGCAGAGACCACGCGCCATTCATGCATCATGATCATGGTAAGTAGTTCCTCAGCACATTGCGGAATCTATTCTAATTTTAAAAAAGCTAAAGAGGTACTTTTAATTCGAATTGAAAAAATATTTTAGTGCTGGATAGCCCATTTAGCAAGGAAGGCCCATTTTTCATTGATGCTCGGCTCCTATTGCCTGTAGTGTAATGTCATAAAGACTATAGTCTATATAACATCACGGATAACACTTTGTGTAATACACAATAATTTGTATATCACAAAAAAGTTTTAGTTCTATATTCTATATCTTATATTCTATAAAAGCGTGTTTTTAGGTTTTTTAAACAATTTTTTATAATTATTTTTTTTCAAATTAGTGTATTGTCATCGGTCCTCGATATATCTACAAAGTTTGAACGTATTCTGACCGTTTAAAGTCAGTCAAAATCACGCCCAAAGGAGTCGGTTACAAACATACAAACAAACATACAACTGAAGCTAATATAAAGTGTTGTCACATGTGGGGATCAAACCCACAACACTCAGTAAAGTAGGAAGCAGCGAGCACCTTTAAACCGGTTAAAACTTAGGTCAGCGCGCTTAAACCACTAACATACAATCCACAAATACCACACATCCGTGCAGTCATACAACGACAGTTCAAGTTATTTGTTAAATATAACACCCCTACTAATATACTTACTTAACATTAAGAGATATGCGATGTTAATATTTACATAAACCCAGTGTCACTCTTACAATTAAATCGAATCTAACGATACCTCCTAAACCAAAATCCATCAAGCGGTTTAGACCACAGAGCGTGCCAAAGGCATATGGGTACATTACATACATACACTTGAAAAACAACCCTCCTCATTCCAAAAATATTCGAAATTCGCCTGGCAGACGACCTTTTCTTTTAAATGACAGCTCCCGCATTATGAATATATCCTGTGTGTGGACTTTACAAACACACATGAAACGGACACAAAAAGAACACCCAGATTCAGAACAACAATTTGTGAATCACACAAAGTGTTGTCCCATCGAACCCACAAAACCTTTATTGTCAGTCTGATACCTTAAGTAATAAGCAATATGTTCTTACTCAAATCATTAACAACTTTTTTTTCTTCCTCATTGCGGTGGCGCAGTAGTATCGTATGCGACTACTGTGCTGAGGTCTCGGGTTCGATTCCTGAATCGAACTAAATGTTTGTATGATCTGCAAATATTTGTTTCGAAGTATGGGTGTTTTCTATATAGGTATGTATTTATTTATGAAAAAGTATATATGTATTCTATCAGATAATCTAGCTTTCATAGTACAAGTCCTGATTAGTTTGAAACTTAATGGCGTTGTGTTAGATGTCGGTGATGAGGTACAGTCATTAGAAATACTAATAAATTATATATTTCATATAATCGGTGCTCGTTTACCGAATGCAACGCACCGGTAATGAAATACGAACATGATTGCCGACGATGTTTACCGATCATTACCGATCATTTACCGATTGTTATCACCGGTATGAGTAGCAATACGGACATGAAATAGGGTTGGTGTTATTTTTAAAATCCTTGTGTATTATTCCAATGTTCTCACATTGGAAATGGGTTAATTTTTTTAGAGCTGCAATTATAACTATAATAACTTATGCCCGCGGCTCCGCCCGCGTAGTTACTCGCTGATAATGTTGCTTTTATATTGGCAAAGGAATTTTAAAAATTAGTTTAGTGGTTTAGTCGTGAAAGCGTAACAAACAAACCCACTTTCACATTTACAATACCTATAAGTATGGATTATTATTATAAAGCTATCGAGTTTATTTGGTTGAAAACGCTAATCTCATGAACTAGCATAGATCCAGATCAAATACAAAAAAATATATTATACATACATAATTATCGAAAAAATTAGTGCATGACAACCCTAAAAATAATCACGACAGTCCGGGTGTCAGTCACACAAAAATCGTCGATAATTAGTAGCAATTGCGATGTAATCACTCGTCACCCTTTTAGACCGCCCCGTGATTTAAAATACTTGGCGGTTGGACCCTTTCTATCATTAGATCACTATTACCACATATTTTGGAAATGATTACTGAATGTTTTTCCAGGGCTATTACAAAACTATAACTTAAAACATCATTAATGGTATATTTTTAGTCCTAAGTTTATGTAGAGACCGTAACGACATAGTAGTTCAGTAGCTCAATTATAATGAAAAACTAGCAGTTTTGAACTTTTTAAAGAAATAAGAGCTTTTTAACTGGTTTCTCCCGCATAACAGAACTTTTTTCTTGTTTAGTACTATCGTATCTGCTGAGTTTCGTGGATCAGTGGAGTACTTAATGCGTGATAGTTTCACAAACAATCTCACATACGTATTTGTTGTATCAGTTAGCATTAAGATTCACACTTCGAGATCCTGCCGGGAACATATAAAAATGAGTTTAGTCAAATTTATTAATCCAACGAATACACACCGTTATATCTGAGTTGATGCACAAACGTTTTTATATTAATTTTATGTGTTTGTGTAGTACATTAGGATTAAATTTGAAATTGTAATCTTCTCTGAACACTATGACCATCCCTTCTTCCTAACGCATGAATCTTCTCTAAAAAATAAATATCCCTCAAAAAATCAAATCCTTACTTCATCTTTGTCATACATAACATTTTTTTACTAAAATGCTATAAAAACATACATTTTTAGTTACATAATTACACTAAATAATTCTCCTTCAATAAATGTCAAATCGACACCTTTAATTTTAATTGCATCGGAAATATTTGGTTATACGTGTGGGGAAGTATCATTAGCCCACTAATGCCCTAATAATGACTGCCAGCGAGATCCCTTGATAACGACAATTATTGAGAATTTGTTTACCGGATGATATATTGGGTATTACTGGTTGAGAGCTTGTGTGCACGACTGTACCCATCTTTTATTATAAATTATTGTGTGTGTGTGTGTGTGTGTGTGTGTGTATAAGTATGTAAAGCGTGTGTGTGAGCGTGTGTGTGTTTAAAGATCGTTATGGGCTCGGCACGCGACAAACGTGATAATTGCTTATGATTTGTATTGATAAATATTTCTTTGTGATTTTAATATTTATTGATCTTTGTGAGTTTTATGGGATATTTATGGCGCTTTTCAACAATGATTTCTTCGTTTTTTATAATAATATTTTCACACATCTCACACACGCCGGTCTGATCCCAAACTAACATACCTTAAACTATGGTAACCAGACTGCTGATAAACATATTTATATATTTCTACATACTACATATATTATAGTAAACCCAAATACAGAATAAATGACCGTGCTCATCACACAATTATTTGTCTTGGGTGGGAATCGAAGCCACAAACTCTGGTTTAGCAGTCAGGGTCACTAACCACTAGACCAACAGGCCAGTCATGGCGTTATGGTTATAGGCAGAGATTTTTTCCATGTTGGGCGTTCAATAAGACCGGAAGTTGTTACCGGAGCCAGTAATGACTTTTTCCTAATAATAATACATTTGATTCTTCGTTCTTAAAAATACCAGATCTCGATCATTGTTAGCACCAGAAAACTCTTGAAAATCTTTTCAAATAAATGGGAAATATTAAATTCATTGTCATAATGTTTTTTTTATTTTATATGAGTTGATGAGTTATATTTCTGCAAGAGAGCAATGACACAGAACAATAAAGGTGAAAAAAGCAAAAAGTATTCCCCTGTGAGCAAATAAAAGAATTAAATGATTTTCGGTTAGCAATTGTTTGATAGCGGAAAAAATCACGGAGCTAATGTCATTTTAAAGGTTGTTGGCTTTTTTATTCTCCGTCTCAGATTTTATACTTACTTATATGTTTCCGTTTAGTTTTATTTTTTCTTCATTTTTCATTACATTTTTAAACGGAGACAAAGAACACCCAGACTCAGAACAACAATTTGTGGATCACACAAAGTGTCGCCCCATGTGGGGTTTGAACCCACAACACTCGGCGTAGTAGGAAGCGGCGTGGCGACCACTTTAACCACTACGCCATCCGTGCAGTCAAGTTGTTGATATCCTGAAATAACAGTACCTTAACACATCTCAAACACGGTTATCTGATTCCTAATAAGACATGCCATGGTAATCTGATTGCTGATAAACATACTCGTACTAATTATATTTCTAAATATATACATTGTACATATACCTACAGATATTACAGATACCAATCCGTCTGACCACCGTGGTGTAGTAGGCCAAAACCTCCTTTCTAAGTCCAGCAGATGATTACTAAAGGCTATTGATGATGATGAATAGGGGTGGTTATACTCTGTATTCTTAATCCGTCACCACACGGATCAACTCTTTCGTGGTTTCTTGTAAACCCTTTGAGCTTGGGTTCATATGATTCGTATTGACGAGTCCACCAGATTGGGCTTGGTATGACAGTCTTAAGATGAACTCTTAATTACTTTTTAATTGGCTTCATGAAAGTGTTTATTTTAATTACGAACGAACGTGGCAGTACAGCCCTGTTCACGGATGTTCTGGCCTGCATAGTTTTGAAAATCTTACGTTACTGTACGCAGCTGGTAGAAGCAGAACTGTACAGGAGTGACCAAAATCTTTTTGCGAAATGAGAATTGAGTTGAATAAGTGTAATTGGTCTCTTAGTCAGATTTGAATAAGCCTTTTATGGTAGGAATGGTTGGTACTAGCCTAGCACAATCTTCCAATCACAAATTTGGGCTGCATTAACGCTTTTCTACTTCCTTGTAACAATAAGGGGTTATAATATTCAAAAATTGTCCAATCCATATTCGAATATAATGACCGTTTTATTTATTGAAGCTAAAGGTGTGTCAGCAATCTCAGCAGGTGTCGGTTTACAAGGGTGTATTGTCACCGCTATCACTAACCTATCACCTGCATGCGGTAATGCTTATACAAACATTCGATTAAATGCTTTTGATTTCGAAAAACAGTTTGTGATATTTTTTAATCGAATATAGATATTATTAGATAGTATTTTAGTAGTACTTGTCTGTTCGCAGCGCTATTTTGTATGATTTTTATTTTATTTTATTCAAGTTTATACTGACATTGGAAGCATTGTATAATTAGTAATATATATAATATATATATTCTACCACATAGACACAACGCCATCTAGTCCCAAACTAAGCAGAGCTTGTACTATGGGTACTAGACAACTGATATAAATACATATATACTTTTTTTTTGTAAATACATACATATTATACATAGAAACACCCAGACCAAATGAAACATCAAATGTTCATGCACACAAATGTTTGACTTGAGCGGGAATCGAACCCGCGACCTTTGGAATAGCAGTCCGTTACACAAACCACTACGCCATCCAATCGTCATTAGTGTGAAATAATAAACCACACAGACCACTGTTATAGGTGTTTTAATAGTCAATATTACTACCTATGGTATGGTACCCAGGTATGAACGTATAAGGTTCATGATTTTAATGCGAAAATAAAGTCGTACCAAAAACATTTTCATGTAGAATGTTGCCAAAATGTCGAAAAGTTGTTAGATCTCATGTAGAGTCATGCTTCTAATTCTACACGTCCTAACTCTACAAGTTTTAACTTCACAAACTCTACACCTTAGCCAGCTTGCGCCATGTGACGGTAGCTATTATGTAGTGCCTACCGTGCCAGATACCGTTAGTGATGTCCAAAGCATTTAGTAGAGATGCATTAAATCGATGTTTTTCTTTTTATTCAGCTGCGGATGGGCTTATTTGTATTCGTGACATATTTACTTTTTTTAAATGTTTTTTAATGTTCCAAAATAAAATACAAAAACCTAAGTAACGATTTCGCCGATCATAAGTCACATCACATCACATCAACAGCCTTTAATAGTCCACTGCTGAACATAGACCTCTCCTTAGAAAGAAGGTTTTGGTCTACTATACCACGCTGGCCAGACGGGTTGGTATGGGGTTTGTGTCAAGTTTTCCTTCTATTTGTAGTGCTGGTATCCTGCGTTGTTTTGCGCCCTTAGTCGGCTCTTAGGACACCCACGGTATGAATTGGGGTAGTGACATTCCGTATTCTTAATCCGTCACTACACGGACATATATATCACGGATCATAAGTATGGAGTACAAATGGACTTTGCATAGGGTTGTCACTCTATTCCATTGATAAGAAATAAATGTTTTTACCCAAACTATCAAATACATACCTAATCATCTACGCCCTATAAGAAACTGATAATATTTCTTTGTTGCAGTGGTGGGTGAATGGGGCGGCGGCGGTCCTCCTGGTGGTGAATGGTGGGCCCTTGGTTTAGGGGCTGGTCTCGGAGCACTTGGGGTACCAGCACCATTGTGGCACGAAGCTGAACCCGCCGCAGCGTTCCGAGCATTATTGCATAGGTAATTTGGATTAATATTTATAAAGTAAGTTTCTTGACCAGAATTTATTATGACTTTTAAAAGACTTTTAACAATATTATAGTATTGACGATACCTGTATGAGTATGTATGTGTATGTACTTGTATGTACTATGTACGTACCTAAAAGTTTGTCGGCCATTCTACAAATAAATATCATTCTAAATAACAAAAAAAAAATAGTTTACTTAATTGTCAGCTAGTAATGCAACCATAAGTTGTGATTAGTTAGTATTTTTCCGTTAAATAAAGCCTCCTTGTTATTTTAACGTTCGTTTTCATACATCTCAATATTATATTCCTCCAACAGGTACGTTCTAGCGTTGCCACCTCCAGCTCTGCGCCCTCCAGAACCCGAACCCTCGCCGTCATCACCGCCGTCCCCACCTTCCCCTTCCGCATCCTTCGCTCGCCTGGCAAGCGCCGAGGCTCTTCGTCTACGAGCACACGATGCGTTACTTCAAGACCGAGTGGTGTTACAACATAACAATAAGGTTCACACGTAACCTGAAGTGGGAGGGGCAACGGAGGAACCTCTGTACCAGCATTTACGCCATCAGGGACATTTGTGAAGATAAGTGTTCGTCCGGCTCATTATGGCGAGATACGGTCGTGGACAATAGTGTTTAAAATTTACTTTCGACATTCCGGAAATAGTTTGTTTATTTATTAAAGTTATTTTTATAAAAAAAATGACGTAAGTTTGTTTATAATGAAATGATAAAGCAAGTACTAATTAAGTTTAAAAAAAAAATGATAAAAAGAAAACAATGTGCTTAAAAAAAATTGTGCACATGTAATCCGGAGTATTATATTTTTTTAATATTTGTGACACCCAATTATTGGACATTAGAAATCTGGTAACTGGCCATTAATAAAAAATACACTAACTATTATAATGTTATAAACACAAAATTAAATTGTAATATATCTCAAGTACCTACAATTTTTTTTGTTGTAGCATATTTTGTTGTTTCATTAACATATACGCATACATAAATTATTGTACATAGTAAAGAAAACGTACCAGTAAAGTACGAAAAATTGAATAATAATAATATATTATTATGAAATAAAAACCAAGATATTTTCACGATGGTACTTTCTTAAATTTGAAAATCATATCTATGAGTTATTAAGAGGTGTGCCTTAACGTTCATTGTAGCAACATACTGTATACTGTCAGTACTTTCAATACTATTCGTTTCAAAATCTTTGTAAATTTAATATTAGAAATACATTGAACACTCTGTATAATAAAATATTTATTACACATTTCTAGTCATTACTGACAGTAAAAAAATATTGTTTCTTTACAACAATATAGGTACAATTTGAATCATTAAAAGAGAAATAAATGATGACAATTGAATCTTTGAAGACAATTAAATTAATTAGGCCTGCTAAAATATGTAGGTACTATAAAATATTTTTAAGCAACATCTAAAATTAATTTTGACAAGAATTTAACGATTTGCTTTATTTTTTAAATATTATAAATATACGGAAAAGACTTCTACTTACTTTTAAAATACTGTTAACAAATATTGCGATCAACCGATTGCAATATTTGTAATAAACTGCAATCAACTTTGTAGGTTTTGCAATCAACTGATTGCAATATTTGTGGAAATATGTAAATATTTTTATTTCTGTTTCAGATTATTGTTTTATTTTGTGTTTGTTCCATCATATTTTATGTTACAAATGCTGACAACATTACTATTGAACCTCAAACTTCATATGGTTTTACGTTTTTAAATTATACAATTAAGTTTGTACATCTTAAGATTATTTGCTTAAAGTTAAATATTTGAATCGAAATTAATGACTTACATCCAAAATATTACCCATAAAAGCGAAATTTAATTTTTAATAGGTATTTACACAAGCTCACGCCAGTACAGCCCCAAATAACCAAGCTTTACTTTTGTGTGTCTAGAACATGAATTATTTTTATTCAAATAAAGTTAAAACATGTGGCAATTTTAATCAAAGTAACAGTCTACGGCCAATGTAACCCGAACTGACTGTACTATTTAGGCGTTAAGGTGTAGCTGCGTAATCGTAAACACATGTAAACCAACCTCCTCAAAAAAAATGATCGAATGTAAATATTTACGTTTTATAATGTATATATTGTAAATTATTATTAAGTATAAATAATATTACTTTTGTTAGTATACCTACAATAGAAATGCACTCATGACAGAAGTCTTGTACCGAATAATTCAAATGTCATAATAATAGTGAATTATTAATAATATTTATTGGAATTATTAGAATGTAGAGAGTTTGCAATAATGTGTCAGTGTAGTCGTGTTCATTAAATACTTGACAACCAATTTTTGTATTATTCTTTTCAAGTATTTATATACCCCTTACATAGAAGAAAACTTGATGAGGTTAGTGACTAGGTAAGGACTAGGTGGTGGTAAGAGGTAAGTGACTAGGTAGAGTCGAACATAATCGCCTCAGCTGAAGTCACAAGAGCGAGTGCCCCTGCCAGAGACGTTGGTGGAGGGATTGATCCGCTGGTCATTCGGTGAAATTAGTTTAAATTTACTTATTCTATTATATTAAATATTAACTGGCAACCAGCGACTTCATTCGCGTGGAATTTGAAAAGCGATGATTGAGTGGGTTCGATTCTCGGACCGAGCAAAATTTTAATGGGTTTTTCTGAGAGGAAAGATTGCCTAAGTTATTTATCCCGTTGGTGTCGTAAGAGCCGACTAAGGGAGCAAACTACGTAGGACAACAGCACTGCAAAGAGAAGGAAAACTTGAAACAAATCCTATACCAACCCGTCTGGCCAGCGTTTTATAGTAGGCCAAAATCTCCTTTCTAAGGAGAGGCCTATGTCCAGTGGTGGACTAGTTAAGGCTGTTAAATTGATGATGAAAACACAACAGCAAATAATTATCTTTTGATCAACATGAATTATAATAAACTGTATTCTGTATTATTTAACCTTCAGGGATGTTCTTTTCTCAAATTTAAATAGGACCGAAGGAGAGGTAGGCATAACTATAAAAAATATATTTAAAGTAACCAACATAAAAAACAACCAAATTGTGCACCTACCTCCTTTTAAACTTCCTTTCTTTTTACTTCCTTTGAAATCGGTTAACCTTTGGATGTCTCAAAACAGGTCTGATATATTAACATTCACTGACCAGTGTCCTCAAACTTTATCAATTTTTTATATTATTATATATTTACAAAGCTGTTAAAACCTGCTTAGCTGTACAAGCGTCTGCACAAAGCTTTTAATATAAAATTTACCCCTTACCCCACACATAATGTACTGTCAAGTACAGTAGGTATAGATCGTAGAGCAAGATTAAATTTTCTCCTCGATTGTACAAAGAACTTGGATTGTTTGAAGACAGATTAATTTGGTAAAAATTTGGACGTCTACCGGGGTACTAAGCCCTCTACACATCGCAATATACGCGGCGTGTACTTGACTGTGCTCGCTTGTTTTTACGATGATGGTGGTAAAGCATCACCATGACTATACAGGGTGGTGTTTTTGCGATTTCTGTAATTTCTAAGCTATACTTTACATTTATTTATGAATTGTGCCTGCAAATACATTGCATAATGCGGACTTAATGCCAATGCTAATAACGGGATAATGCACAACACATTTTTGCTCGAAACGGAGTAACCTGTTTGAGGCTAGATACAATTACGCGTGTGAAGTGGGTACTTTACTTTTTACTTTACATTAACAATCAAGCTGTATATTACTTACTTTTTCCTAAATTGTTAAATAAATAGAAAACTCAACATAACTAACATTAAAATTTATCTCATAGTAACTCATACCTTGCAAAATTCAATTAACTCCAATATTTACCCCCTCACATACCCTACAAAGCATAAACTTGTCTCACAAATGTTAATACACGAACTCGATAACAACCTTTAGTAGATTTCGAAGTTTGTAATTAAATTCTCGATACAATACATAATTCCTTAACTTATACTGAACATTAACATACAAATTGTATAATACCGAATAACTTCGATAGGTAATATTTTATATTAAATTAAATAATATTTGGCGTAAAGTCAGTGCGCCGACTTTATGTGACTGCATACTCTATGTAGCACATGTAAGGTTACTGGATCCTCTAGATTGATCCCGGCTCAACTTTAGTTTTTTCAAAATTTGAATATGGCTTCAGAAAGATAAACTCAGTGATTATTGTTAAAAAGCATATTTGTGTCTAGATTGTTTCTTGTAAGATTTCTTTCCATACTTAAGTATTCATTTCATAATTACATTTCATAATTCTTATACGTATAAATTTAATTTTAAGGTCATTAACACATCGTGACATTTTAATAATAACATGCCGAAAGAAATCTAGAGTATGCCGCCGACTCTACGCCAGACGCAAATTGAACCTTACGTAATACCTATTCTTCTCGGCGTGGATCTACTTATCGCTGCTGAGTTGCTCGTAATCTCCTTAAACTGTTACTTATTGTTCCCGCGAGAGGTGGGGAGGGAGGCATGGAGGAGTGGGAGCTCACGCCCACCACATCGACAAGCTTGTAATTGGTGAATATCTGAGGTGTCAGGCTTACAATTTTGTTCTTAACAAATATAACGAATTGAGGCTTTGAAAAAAAGCGCATTAGATTTGTTTTAAATTTAAAATCTCTGGGAGAAATATTTGCCAAAACAGTCCGCGGAATATGAATCAGTTATCCCTGCGTATTGTTAATTTCACGTATTTAAAAAAAAAACACAAACCATCCACCGGTCTAGTCCATCCATTTTACAAAATACCGTGGTTAGAATTAAAATAAGACTACAACATGACAATAGTTGTTTAAAAGCCTTTATATTAATCTTAATGTTCAATTAAAGACAGCATTAAAAAAATAACATTATATTTTTTTCATTAAAATCAAAGTTTAACGCCACATACTATCAAAATACAAGGCTGGCTCTACAAAGCCCACGTACCGTACATATTATGTATTAGTGTGAGTGAACCACCCATCGCCGGCGGGCCTTGTTACCAACCCGCCCACAAACTTTATTATATCCTAATTCGGTTAACTTTATTGCAAAGTTGCTATTAATGCTTGTATGTACAACGGATCTCATAAACGCTGATCTCCTACTAAAAAGCTTACGTCTTCTTTCATATTAACCGAAGTCAGGATGGTGGAGGTAAAGTTATGGTACTTTGAATTGAATAGGATTGGCTTTAGTCGAGTTTAGAACTGAATTGTAGCATACTATTCTACTACAATTTGACGGGCCTGTTCGTCTGGTGTTTAGTGACCCTGACTGCTAAACCGGAGGTCGTGGGTTCGATTCCCACCCAGGACAAAAATTGTGTGATGAGCACGGTCATTTGTTCTGTGTCTGGGTGTAATTTATCTATAATATGTATGTATTTAGAAATATATAAGTATGTTTATCAGCGGTCTGGTTACCATAGTACAGGCTCTGCCTAGTTTGTGATCAGACGGG